GAGTCCCTTTACTCACATGTGCTGAAATACACATGTGCGAAAAGAGAGCACTTGCACGTGCGGGACCCTTTTCCTGCTTGAGAAACCAGGTTGCGTGTACAGGAGGCCCTTTACCACACGCAGGACAGCATGTTTGTGTGGGCTAAACAGCCGCAAACGCACAAACGCACGCGAGATCCTTGCCCGCGCAAGTGACGTGTGCCGGATCAGGAAGTTTGATACCGATAAGTATTTCACCTTGCCTATTTTTCCATGAGTTTTTGATGGCTGATTTTCTAAAGAGAATTCTACTACAAATTGAAGTCTATATGAAGAATTAAAGCATATGGAAAATATGATAAAAGGAATGAGAATTATTTAATTAATATTTATTGTTAATTCTTATCCCTAAAATTATTTTACTATTATTTTGGGATTTATATTAAGATAGATTATTTTAATTATTTTCTCTAAGTTTTTTAGTCTAATTATGTTTAAGTGTTCAAGTATGAATATCCTACTTCTATTCGTATTAAAAAGTGTAACTCTATATAAAGGTTTCAATTTTTAAGTTGTAAACACAACTTCAATTTTCAGAATAAATAAAATTTCAAATTTTTATTTGCTTCTTGAAATTAGTTTTTTGCTAATTTTTGAGCGTTTTCCACGCGTCCTCAAGATATGGAACTTCAGAAGCCTTGTTGAGTCAAGGAATCAGAACTGATTTATCGAGTAAGCTATCGCATCCTTCTTTATTCTTTTATTTTTTCCAATTACCTTGAATTTGTATTCCATATTGTTGGGTGCAGTTTTAAGTATGGATGGTAAATTAGGTGGTTAAGCTTTCTGGTGTTACATTGAGTGAGATTCCGGGAGTCAAAACAATCCATCCCCGTTTCCTACCGCGTCATTTGGTATAAAATCTTAGGCTTCTTGTGAACCCACTATATTCACTGCTTTAGTATCTTGTGTTTTGCATAAATGAGCAATCAAATTCAATTGTTGCTAATTCGTATGGTATCTCACTTAAATTCATTCTATTCATTCAATGCAAGTGATTGTTTGTTTATTCTAATAGTAAAAAAAATTTCGAAAATACAAAAATATCCTAATTACACATCATAAGACATTTGGCATTCTATTGTTGCATTCAAACCAAAACAAAGGAAGATTAATCGTCTACCAGTATGATGAAAACCTTTTCAGTGTTAAAGGAAGAATACCTCACCTACCAGGTGTGCACGAAAACCTTTGTTTCATTATGTTGGATGAAGTAAAGGGAGATTAACTCACTCCTATGAGCGAAAACTATTTGCTTCATATCTAAATTTTCCAGTATTACATATGCGTTTTAAGCATCACAATTCTTCATTCGTGACCTTAAATTTTGAGCTTCAAAGTCAACATTTCTTTAAGATTCCTTACCAGTGTCTTGAGACTAACATTCAAGTCCCGATTAAGGAGATTCGATTCCAAGGCTCAACTTGTCAAAGAAAGCTTGAATGTTGAGATGTTGTGAGGTCAAACACGAGAGATTGCAAGGAAGTGTTTACCACTAACCTTTCTTGCAGATTCTTTTCACAATATTTTTTCGCGAAGAACTCGCCGAATTATGGTATGATATGCAAAAATACCAATCAATTTTACGAATGGAAGTAATGCGAGAGGCATTGAGGGAAGAAATGGCTCAGACATGTAATGATGTGACAGAGGACCTTCCTAGTCAAGAAGAGATTCATGTTCCTACAAGGGTTAAGTACTCTATCATGGAAGATGAAAAAGAGAGGAACCCGGCAGCCAGGAGTCGTGTTTTTTTGTTAATTTTTTTGTTTCCACTAATGATATCTTACAGGATTCCAAAGAAAAGACTCTACTTCAAGAAAGACAAGATTCGAGAACAAGTCATTTTGAAGAATAAGGAGATGATGTGATCTCAGCTAGGCCAAAAACAATCCTGGAAGTCCAAGCTGAGCCTACATTTGATACGACCAAGAATCCTTGCCAAAGAAGAAGTCCAATAGCAGCCCAGATCTAAAATTCATCTAGAGGGACTTAAAACTCAATCCAACGGTCCAAAAGAGAAGAACTCAAGGCTCTTGCACTTGGGGCCAAGTAGCCAACCCAAGGAGCACCCAACGAGGTCCAAACCTTATGACCAGGTTTGGGTCAAGAAGGGGACAGCCTTGGAGCCCAAAAAGCTGCCAAAAGGAAGGTCCAAGCTAGACCCAACCAAGCTAGGATATCCAAAAAAAGATAAAAGAATGGGCTTGAGGCCCATGAGAAAACCCGTGGGCTTGAAGAAGTGCCAAGAGAGACAGAATATCAACTCTTCGCTCGAGAATAGACGAATTTAAGGTCTTCTCGGCCAAGGCAGCCGTGGTCCAAAAAGAGCCACGCATGTGAGTCCCTTTACTCACATGTGGGAAAACACGCATGTGCAGGAAGAGAGCATCCATGCCCGCAGGACCCTTTTCCTGAGTGAGAAA